AATAAACAAGAAAATGATCTAGAAGTAAACTGACATGTGCAAAATTATATTGTATAATGAATGAATTAAATAAACTAAAATATTTAATAATTACCTGACAGTGATATCTGTGAGATTGCTGGCATGTGTAAATCTATCATGAAGACAAGAAACAATATCTAATTCAGTGACACCCCAAAGTCCAGAACGGTTTACTGTATCCCATTGAGGATCAATACTTAAAATACTATATAATTCTTTATTTTCAGTTGATGGCAAAGGCTCTAAACATTGTTGCAATCTTACTTCAAGTTTCCCTAAAGTATTCACACAAGTTTGCCACTGTAATATATATTATCATAATATATATTAAAATTAATATATTTAAAAATTAATATATATATTAAATGTTAAAAAAAAATATATATTTACGAGAGAATGTATAAGATCAGGATTATTAGCAGTTCCATTTTCCATTAATAATACCAATACCATGTTATGATGTCCACAGAGAAATAATTCTGTTTTTTCAAGACAAACATCATTCTTGGAAGTAGTTATCCAATCTTCTTCCAATTCATCTTCATCATCACTGCCAGTCTCTTTATTAACTGCTTCCAATTTTTGTTTAATCATTTGATTTGTTACTGTCGAAAAGCCAGATAAATCGCGAAATTCGCTAGGAGTTGTTTCTCTACTACAAAAACCGCTAGTTCTTTCATCAGCAAGTAAACTAAGTTTAGACATAAGAGGAGTTAATTGTAGACCATCCAATTTTTTTTTTTGAAGAAAATCATACACGTTACCACATTCCGATGCTGATTTTCGTCTATCATCATTATCAGTGATATTAAGTGGTTTCAAAGGAAGACTCATCGATCTACGATAAGTTTCTTGTTTTACTTTACTATCTAATTTTATATCGTGAGAATTACTTGATTTTTCTAAATTATCATTGATTATAGTATCACAGTTGTTCATTACATTTTTTGCATTACAATTATTAGTCAAATTTGTTAAAAAATCATTACGATTAATTGTATTATTTCGATCATCTTTCAGTTCTTCATAATGCGAAGATATGTATTGTTCATATAATGATTGAGATACTGATAATCCATCACATCGAAATACAGGATAACATGGATCCGTAATTGTATGAAATTGTTTTCTATATAATGATTTTTTTTGAGGAGAAGTTTCTGGAGATATACTTTGTTTTAACTGTGGCAATCCTAATCCATATGTTCTTACTGATATTCGAGTAGAGCACAAATTAGATGATTCTAAATCATGCATACTTAAGCTTTTCTTATTAAATTCTCTCCGTTTAAAAATTTTTTCTTTTGGAGTAACGGTTTTTAATTTATTTAAACGTTTACATCTAAGTGCTTCCTTAACAACATCTGGAATATCATCTACATTTATCTTTATTCTTTTTTTTCTTCCTCTACTTCATTATTTGTATCTTCGTTTGTGTTACATATTAATACAGCATTACCATGTAATACTCTATTAATATCTCTCAAGGGCGTAGAGCACACGCTAGGAGTCAAAGGATTTATACACTTAGGACGGTCTGTTTTACTTTCCTGTTTACGTTTCACTGGAGAACTGTAAGTTGTTAATGGAACAGAGGATACATAGTGACTGTTATCATTGTACTGTGATGAATCTAATTCTCCTTCTTCAGGTACAGTAAAAATACGAGAAGTATCTCGTTTCATCCCAGACAAAGGAGGTTCTTTATTGTTTTTAGACATGTTCTAAAAATATAATCATTATTATTCATTATTAGATAATTAATAAATGCTTTATGTTTTTAAATATTACTTACTTTTCTTTGTAATATTTTTTTAGTGACAGAATCTAAATAAGAACTATAATATCGTTCATTATTTGCTTCTTGTATAAGTTTTATAAATTGTTTTTGTTCTATATATACTTGCAGTAACTGTACTCCAACAGGTAGGTGAAATTCTGTTGATATTCTTTCTGCAGGAGCCTAAAAAGAATTTTTAAATAAAAAATAAACAATTGATTTCAAAATTTTTTTTATATATTATATATTATATATTATAAAAATTAAATAATATTATGTCTAATATACCTTTATTCTATATGGGTCAGTTATAACAATTTGTTTGGTCAATTCAGCACTCAATTGAGTTGCAACTACTCTGAAATATTTATATTTATATTTATGTACAATTATGTATAAATTTTTAAAGAGATATTTATTCATATATAATTATATATATTTATATATATAGTTTATTCATTAATATTTAACTTACTTGTTATTATAAAAGAGTGCACCACCTATAATACCATTAGTTTCTTGAAAATATTGTAAAACTTGAATTGCTTCTAAAAATATATTACTAGCACTCTAAAAAAATATAATACTGATTTATTTATATCAATAATAAATATTTAATATAATAATACTAATATATTAATATAATTTAATATAATAATTTAAAATTTTAATATCACATATTTTTTATATTAATCACCTTAGGAAGTTTAATAATAGGAATATTGGAAAAAAGATTGGCACTATATTGAAGTATTGGCAAATATGTTTCAAACATTTGATAAAGTTTCTCTGTAAATTTATTCCTGTCATTATTAAATGATTCCAATATTTTATTTAAATCATAATGAAAGAATTTTAATAATGATTCTAATGTATTTGCACGTCTTTCTAGAATCCAGTCATGAATATTCCTATCAGTTCCAACTGCCTGTAAATAATAATAAATAATGAAATTTATATAATAAATATAAGTAATATTCTTTCTTATAAAGCAATAAAAAATGTTATATTTCATTCATTAAAAATATATTGGAAATTATAAGAAATTAAATAAAGATAATTGTCAAATTATATGTAATATATTATGTAATAATTTTCACATTATAATAATTATATATTGTAATTAAAATCATATAATTAAATTCTTCTACATTATTTTAAATCATTTTTTTTATTTTGTAAATTATTTTTATAAATAAGTTTGATTTAATTTATTAATTATAATTATATCAAGAAAAAATGTAATAATAATATACTTACAAGTATATATTGACCAAACTTTTTTAATACAAACTTTCCTCCTTGTAATGTAATTGATTTTGGATTGGAAAATGAAGTTGAAAGAAATTGATTAATAGCCATTAATTGACCTGCTAAAGCTAACCTTTGAGTAAGAGATACCCATGCAGGATGAAAATACATAACTGCTTCTGCAGGATCATCATCTTCTTTACAACATCTTATAGTATCATAAACAAATACTATCATCATCTCTCTAAAAAAAAAAAAAAAAAATCAAAATTAATTTATTATTATCTATATATTAATTATATAAATAATAGTATTATGTAATACAAATAGTAAATATAAAATGTTAAATATAAATAAAATAGTTTTGTTTTATAAATGAAATAGCTTACCCTTCTGAAGAATTGATAAAACTGTTCTATATATAATTGTTTATCAATTCTATCAATTTTCATTTTTATAAAATCATAGATATAATATTAATGTCTATAACTTGTTTTAATTCTATACATGAATAAGTCTATGAAATAAACAATTATGAACAGAAAATTACTGATTAGCTGCACCAATAACCGATAACAAAATGAAAGAGATAAGATTACAGATTTAGAATACATTTTTTAAAAGTATTATGTACTATATATAATAAAAAAATATTATTAATACTTGAATAAGTTTAATAAAAATTAAATAAAAATTGATGAAAATTATTTATATTTATAAAAATTATATACATTATTTTATTTATTTGTTATAGTATATATGCAAAATTTTTAAATTTAATCTTCAATAAATATAATTATATAAAAAAATATAATTATAATTTATTAATAATGAAACAATATAAAAAATGTAAATGTTTTAAAATTAAAACAATATATATATGTGTTTTTATATAATATATGCATTACATTTAACAAGTATAAAAGAAATATTATATTATATTACAAAACAATAAAATTGTATTATAAAACTTATTGTAAAACAATAAAATTACAAATAGATAACAATTATTTACAATACACATAATATATATATATATATGTATATGTATAAAATATCAATAATTTTCCAAAAACTTCAAAGTAAATTTAAAATAAAAAAAATATTATTTTAAACAATAATGAAAAATAATGATTATAAATTCATTAACTAAGAAAATAAAAGTATTATAGGTGTTATAAAAAAATATAAGTACACAAATTTTTTAATTAATAGTTTATAAACTCACACCAACTTAAAATCAGCATTCTCTTTGACAAAAATTAAAGATTTAAAAAGGGACATGCCGCCGAAAGATCAACCAATGAATTAGGTGTAATAGCAATACAGTTTGCAGCGTGAAATAGTAAACAAAGCATTATCATTGAATTAAAGATGCACTTTCTATGCTGCTATAATTAGATAAGGCTAATGTTATGCAATATCTTCGTACTTTGCCATGGTGATTGTTTACGCTTCAGTGTACCGGAGTTGAGAACTTCAGTTTCAATTGTCAATTGTAATTTCAAGCTTTTTTTTTTAAGTTTTCTTTTTTCACTTATAAAAACAAACTTAACGTCGTATTTTTTATTTTATTCTTATACTCGTTCAAGATGCTATTAAGCGACACGAAAAATGCACTTCAATAGAAATGCACTTTCTCGTTATGTAATATAAAATCTGAGCCATAATAATCTTCATTTCCAATCACGCTGAATGGAGCCGCTCCTTTACCGCCATGCTGATATCGATCTTATACTTATATAGATGATACTTCTAGTCTTTGATCGGACTTAATGTAATTGCACCGCGGTATTTGAATTTTATTTGAACACTTAATGAATTAAAATTTTATTATTACCATATTAATATTATTATTATTATTATTATTAATATTATTATTATTATATATTATTAATGCATTATTTATTTAATAATTAATTGACATACGTAATAAAATTATGAAATGTATTTTTATATTGAAGTATATATTTAACAAATATATCATACATAAGTAAATAAAATATAAATTACAAATATATCAGCTATCTGTAAGTTCTTGCAAACAATTGCGAAGAATTTCTAAAAAAATATCAGCATGATATTCTCCAAATATTAGACATGGTCTTAACCGAATTGATTTTATTCCACATTCACCCACTTGAATACCTAATGTGCAAATTTATTTTGAAGATAGAATATATAAATTTTGAAATGTATATATTAAACTTTTGATATTACCTTTACTACGTATCAGATGCAATAATTTATTTTTCGTATCATTACATGGCATATCAAATGCAATAATAAAACCTCTACCTCTTACAGAATTCATAAGATGCGGAAATTCATGTTGTAATGTGTTTAATTCACATAGCAAATAATTACCGACATGACAAACATGACTTAATAAATCGTCTGTTTCAATAGATTGTAATACTGCCTCTAATATTAGAATTTTACTTGGATCACCCATCCATGAATTAAAAATTCTATATGGAAGTCTAGGCCTAAATAAATAATAAATATATAATAAATTTAATAAGATTTTATTCTATTTAAATGCTACCATTTTTAATAAATATATTACATATATTCATAAGAATGATAAAATCCACTAGCTTGCATTTTGTTACTAAAGGTAACTATATCAGGAGGAATATTTAATTCAAAATATTCATGTGCCCATATTCTTCCTGTTGCACCACCTCCTGTTTGTATTTCATCCAATATTAAAGGAATAGATTTCTGTGAAGTTTATATTTATATTATATTTTTCAATACATTCACAATAATCTTATTTTATAAAAATATAAATAATATATTAAATATTTACTTTTTTACTAATATCTTGTAAACACTGAAAAAAATCTGGAGAAGCATGTCTATCTCCTCCTTCACATTGTATTGCTTCAACTATGATACCAGCAACTGGCATTTTTTTTTCAAATTGTTCTATTAAATTTTCTACCTTTTATATTTTGATGTAAATTTTATCAATTTTTGATAATAAAATTAATTTGAATTTTATAAATATTAAATTTACTTGTTCTATGCATCTTGCATCCTCTTCTTTATTTTCTTTTTCATACTGATCCAATGGATACAAATATTGTGGAAAAGGTGCAATTGGCCATGGAAGAGAAGGTATATCAACTTTCATTATATATTTAAAATGTGTTAATGCCAGTGCACCAAATGTTCTACCATGATATCCTCCTAATTTTATAAATTTCATCAATTTATAGTGTTGATATATTGCAACACTACATTAAGGTACCTTCAAAGGAAAGAAGTGACAACTCAGGACAACCAGGTGGTTTATTAAAAGGTGCATTTTCTTTTTCTTTCTTTGTAAACTTATTGCCTTGACGACGCCTTTCTGCATATTTTATAAATGCCATTTGCATAGCATATTCAGTTGAACAATCACCACAATTAGTTGTAAAAACACATTGTAATCCTTTTGGAGCTACCTGATAAAATAGTATTATATTTAACAAATTCTTTTTTATTTACTATTATTTGTTATTTTTAATTATTTTTAATTTTATTTTCATTGACAAAATAAATATTTTCTAAATTTTATAAATAAAAATATCTTACACATGGTTGAAGCAATGTATCCTGTAGTTTACATGGCCATTCTAAACCAGGGAATAAACCTAATGCAGGTCTGTTTGCCATTATTCGCTACAAATTTATTATATTGATATTTTTTTAATTAATTTTAATGAATATAATAATTTGGAATTATATTTACTTGATTTCCTGCACAAGATAATGCACCAAGAATTGATCTATGATTATATCCAAGAGGAAGAGTAGAAAGTTGCATAAACATATCTAAAAAAACATTTCCATCTATATCTGCTAAATAATTTCCAACAGATCTTTGATAATCTGCAAAATATTGAATGGAGCCTATTTGCTGCAATATGTTATAATTATATTATATTAATATATGCTATATTCTAACAAAATTTATATCTTGTCACAATAATATAAACCTGAATTTTAGAAAATTCATTGAGAAGAGCATCTGACCTTGGTCCAGGAATTTCAGTAAGTGTATATGGTTTCATTGGTTCTCCAGGTAATGGTGCTTTTGGCACATTATGACATTCTATATATATTATTTATTAAATATAATATATTAAAATGATATGATTTTTTTCTGTAATATCAATTTTTTAACATAGTTACTTTGTACTTACGACGAGGTTTTGGACTCTTTCGAATAGAATATACAATACTTTTGCACAACATATTATAAGAAATTTTTATGTTTATTAAATATTGTTACTAATTATAGAGAATTTATGAAATTCTACTATACGTATATACATGTATTCTTAACTCATATTAGATAAAAATTTTAGAGAAAGTTTAAAAATAGTAAAAAGTGTGCAATGCATTCATATAAATGACATATTTTTACTTTTGTTTCAAATTATGACAGAAGAATGTAAATAGCTATTAATATAGGTTCTATATAGTATTACTTAAACTTCAAGTACTACTTAAGCTTATATTATACTTTAAATGTAATAAAATATTAATACTAAAAAAATTTAGTTATTTATAATATTACTCTATACAAAAAATTATTTTTTGTAAATAAAATTAAAAATGAATTACTAAACGGTATTAATATACTTTTTTAAAGTTTCATGAAGCCACTGTCATACAGCAGTTTATTATTTTTTAAGCAATTACAAATTAAAAAAGGTAAATTAACATACTATGCTTTCATCTAACTTATATTTATAGTGCAATAAAAACAACAAAGTTTATGATTAAAATTAGTACAAATATATTTATTATAAACTAGTAATATTAGATTTATAGATGAATATAGTTATGTAATCACACTTTGTTGCTTTTTTTAATAGAATAAACACCTTGTTACATGATTAATAAGCGGGCAAAGTGAAATAGAGCAGCGCAAAATGTACATGGCTGCAATTCTTCACCCAGTTTTTACACTTCAGTAGCATGCCAAAACTTACACGACTAATATCTAATATATACCTTAAAGTATTTCTACACTTTTTTACAGAAAAATTTTTATTTCAGTACATTTTCAAATGTCGCTTCTATGTAAGAAAAGAATACTCGATAAAACGAGTTTAGCTAAATTTGTTTTCTTAACGCATCAAAAATTTTAAGAGTATCAACGACTTTGTAAGTTCACATGCATCTCGTAAAAAATTAGGATTAACTCCTTGAGAAACAATTTAATTCTCCTATTTGCCTCAAAAAATAAAGCTAATATGTTATTATTTCCAATTAGCGCTCGTATTTATTATTGTGAATACTTATGTATTAATACTTGTTATTAATCTTTATTCATAAATCCTTACGAGCTAAATAATGTCCAAAGGCAAAATAGAAGAATTTCAAAGATGCACTAAATCTCAAAGAGTAAATCTATCGAGGCATAATTTTCAAAATAAAATTCTCTTTAAAATGTTCGCTTAACTCTTTGCGATATGTAGATCAAACACAACTTCGAGGAACGCTATCAGTTTAAACACAGAATACAGCAAAGAATTAAGCGTAAAAAAATAAAAATTTAACATTTTAATAATCATAGATATATGGATATATATCGAAGACATTTGTAAAATACATTACAATAGAGATAAAATAAAGCTTCGATAAACGAGACGCATATGACAAGACCACTTGAGCTTACGATAAAGCTAATGCGGTGTATAAATCTGGGCAAAGTAATTATATGTATTCTGTAACTATAATCGAAAGTCGAAGGTAAAAAACAGATCAGTGCCAGGTTCTGTGAACTTTGAATTAAAAATACTGTACAAGCATCATCCTGGCAAAAATGTACAACCTGTTTTTTTCACTTAAATAAATGATTGACCATCGTTAAGATGCATCTTGAGTTCGTGAAACACACATGTTAATGTACATACACGAAATAGTTCTTAATATCGGAGAACAGATTTCCTTAAGAAAGTATTTCTTAGACCTTTACAGAATAAATCTGTGTGTAGTTTAGATTCCTAGAAATTCTCAGATTCTTCTTTATGAGTTAGATATTTACTATGTACTTTCACTCTTGTAATTTATTAGTGAAAATTAGAAGCTAGGCTTTTCTTTGCTTCTTTTCATATGAGTATGTATGTATGTATATACGTATATATATATATGTATATATATTATTTTTGTTCCTTAGATGTCCATGAAATAATATTGCCTTTTCATATCCTGTAAGAATACAGAAACTGAATATACTTGTACATATACAATGTAGTACAGTTTAGTACTTTTCACAAACAGTTGTTTAATAGCTAAAATATAAACAATATTTTCATCAAATTCAGTTTTTGCGTTTAAATGATTTTTTTTTATATCTTCGATATATAAGAATCAAGATTCTATAGTCTATTTTTATAGACACTTTTACTTGGATATATACAAAGCAGACATATCCGCTTATTTCTTATCATCTAACATTGTATATATTACTTGTAAACAATTTTATAGAAAATTTTGTGTTAAAATAATATAATAGTGATTATTTATGAGCACAATAAACAAATTTGTACAATTTATTATGCATTTGCTAAATAAATCTTATGTCTATTGAGAAAAAACTGATTTTTTATTAGATAAAATATAATGACAGTGATTGGACCATTTTCTTTTTCTTTATTAAATAATAATGAACTTTTAAATGATTTCAAACTTTTTTTTTATATTCCGCAAAATACATTGCATTAGGTTACTAAAAACTCATCATTCTAAACGCTCAGTGGCACTGATTTGATATATTTATAATTATTCTCATAACATGCATAATTACACATATTTAATAGATGTACATAAATAATAATGTTTGTGTAGAACATATGAATTCTGAACCATAACTTATGATGATTCTCTATAAAAATTTTTATTATTTTTTTCATATATAAAATATAATAAATAAATTTATATTGCACATTGTGTGTGTATTTGCGCGCGCGCGCGTGTATATTTTTATTTTATTACGTTTATTAAATTTTATGGTTTCATGCACTTGAGTTCATAATATTTTCATATCAAATATTTCCTGTTTAATTTGTTAACAAAAATTTATATAAGCAATATACGTTTAAAAAATTAATATTTTATTATCATATAAATAAACAATGAAAGTAATTATTATAAATAATATATATAATGTTATTTCAAATTTGAACATAATTTATAATCTTATAATAAACTTTTTTGAAAATATAAAATTTCATAATATTTTTTGAATATTTATTAGAGTTTATATGTATTCTAAGGCTAAATTATAAGTTCTGGTTCAAAATTCTTTACGGCATTATTCAAATAAAATTCGCTTTTACGAAGGCAAATCAATTGTTCACACAATTCTAATAAATAGTGAACTTATATATGTCCTACTCTTACATACTTATGGCTAATTTGAATGTCTCTTTTCTACTGGCACAGATCATTTCTGTTGTTGCACAAATTAACCATTGATGCTTAGCACTTCCACTCGTTTATAGTTACAGTTTTCTTATTTTTTTTTCTTTTTTTGATTGCTTACTTTCCTTCAGAAAACTTCTCTCTTAAACTTTTAATCTTGTGAACAAAATAAGTCTCTAAGGATTCTGCACACTTAAAGAAAGGTGATTCTTTCGGATTATAATAACGACAATTGTCAAATATTTTTGTCATGTCGCCAATAAATTCACTTAATTTCTTGTAAGATCTATCATTTATCCTCAATTCTATTGTTTGTAAATCTGTAAACAAATAAAAATAATATAGAGATATAATATATATATATATCTTTTTTAATATTAAATTTCAAATTCAGCAAAAATTAATATTAATAAAATTGTTAATTAACTACGTAATATATATATAGTGTTAATTTACCCATCGGTTCCTTTATAACTTTATAGTAGTCTGGTGCTTCATTTGGATCTACTGGTTCCATAAACGGCCAAGCACTTTTGTGTGCCTATTTAAATTTTTAATATTGATAATCAATTTATAAAATATCATATTATTATTATTTGTAATTTTTTACCTGTATTTGTTTAATTAATTTCTTAAGAAGATCAAGATCTTTTGCGTTAAGATTTTTCATATTAGCAAAGTTAACAGAAGAATTTCGTTGACAATTTGGACAAACATATTCATCAATATTGTCTGCTTCAGACTGTAAAATACCCACGCATCGACCATGGAACCAATCTTGACATTTATCGCAGCAAATATAAAATCTATACAAATAAAAATGTTAATTTTGTTAAAAAAAAAATAATCAATATAACAATATAAATTAGCATTATTACATACTGAGATTCATCATAAGGCTGTTTACATAGACAATATAGCTCTTGTGTATCTCTTGCATGTCTACATTCTGTACAAACGAACTCTGAAAGAGTTTTACACATTTCTTCTGTGATTCCAACGCAATCTCCATGAAACCAATTGTTACAGAGATCGCATCCCACATAAAATCTAATTTGACAAAATAATTGACAATCATTAAATATATATTATTTAAAAGAAGACATTTTTTTTAATGCTTACTTTGTTTCATCATATGGTGTTCTACATAAACAATATAATTTTTCTTTTTTGATTCTATTCGTAGTAGGTGCTGTTGAAGCTCCTGGTGGTGTAGTATTATTTCCTTGAGCCTTATATTTCTTTGGCCTTCCACCTCTATTAGGAGGACTAACTTGTTGAGCCATTTGAGCATTTGCTTTACGTTTTGCACTTCCTACTTTTACTTCATCTTGTTTGTGTCTTTCTGCTTTTGTTCTCGAAGCTAATTCCGCCGATAAATCTTTCTATAATTTCAATACAAGAAGTAATAAAAATAAATTTAGATGGATGTGTATTATTATATTGACTTGTAAAAAACATATTTAATATAGTATACCTGAATATCTATTTGTAATTCTTTTTCAAGTAATGCTCTTTTTTTAAAATATCTTTTTTAAGTAGTTCTTTATGTCTAAATAATAAGACTTGCATTCGAGAATGAACTTGTTGTTTCCTCCGTTGTTCTTGACTGTCTTTTGGCTTTGCTGCTCGTTTTTGTGGAGTTGATTCATTCTCTATTGGTTCAATTTTTTGTACTCTAAAAAACAATAATATTTTTAAAGAAAATTATTTTTATTTTAACACATTAATTTTTAATTATAAAACTTACTTTGGAATTTCACGACTTTCTTGTTTTAATGTAGGCTTTTTTCTGGGTGTTTCTGACCAATCAGTATCTTTATCGTTTGTTGTTGATTGTATATTTGTAGATGAGGTTGTTGTTGGAATGTTAGAGGGTGCCGGTCTTTTACGAGATGGCATACGCGGAGTTGTAATTGTAGGTGTAGTATGAGTTTGATTATTAGTTGCTGAATTTTCAACACCACCTTTCATTTGTTTCTCTTGATATCGTTGCAATTGCAATAATTTTTCTTCTATTTCCGGATTAAGATTTTCTTGTTTCAATGCATTCTTAATAGCTGAAAATTTATATAATAATTATTAGAAAATATGTAGAATAAAAATATTCAAATATTTCTAATCCCAGTGTTATCAAACAGTAAAGATAATATTGATTAATAACTAACTTTGTTGTATGTAATCAGGTGTTAAAATAAATTTATTAGCCGAAGAATCGTTTCCTTCTTTTAAAGATTGCAAAGGTTGCTGACCATTAGCTACATTTGTTTTTTGTGATTCCTCTTCTGTAGTCACATTAGGTTGAGCAACTTGCTGAACAACTACTTTTGGTTTTTCAGGAGAACTTGATGTTGCTGTTGATGGAAGTTCTGGAATGCTTTCATTTCCTGTTTGAGGTTCTATTGAAATTAAAATAATATTAATAATATTAAAATAAATATAATGAAAAAAAATATCAAATTGTATAAATACGAACCAGTTGCTGCTGGTGGAGAAACAACTGGTTGTTGTGCAATTTGAGGTTTTGTTGCCGGTGTAGCGGGAGTATTTGCTGTTGTAGAACTTTGAGAACTCTGAATTGATTGTTGGCTGTTAGGTGCAGGTTGAACAGCTAAATAAATTTTGGTAGGTCCTAATACTCCTTGTTTGCCTGTTGTAGCTTGAGCTGAAAAATATAGATATATAAATATATAAATAGATAATATATAAATATATATAGTTATAAATATAATAATAATGTTATATATATATATATATATATATATATATATGTATAAATTACTAA